TGACGCAGGAAAACACAGAGAGGACACGGAGACGTGACACAGGAAGACGCAGAGAGGACACGAAGACGTGACGGAGGAAGATGCAGAGAGGACACGAAGACATGACGCAGGAAGACGCAGAGAGGACACGAAGACATGACGCAGGAAGACGCAGAGAGGACACGAAGATGTGACGCAGGAAGATGCAGAGAGGACACGAAGATGTGACGCAGGAAGACGCAGAGAGGACACGAAGACGTGACGCAGGAAGACGCAGAGAGGACACGAAGACGTGACGCAGAGAGGACACGAAGATGTGACATGAGAAGACGCAGAGAGGATTACAAAGACGTGACGCAGGAAGATGCAGAGAGGACACGAAGACGTGAAGCAGGAAGACGCAGAGAGGACACAGAGACATGATGCAGGAAGACGCAGAGAGGACATGGAGACATGACGCAGGAAGACGAGAGAGGACACGAAGACGTGACACAGGAAGACGCAGAGAGGACACGAAGACGTGACGCAGAAAGACGCAGAGAGGACACAAAGACGTGACGCAGGAAGACGCAGAGAGGACACAAGGACGTAACGCGGGAAGATGCAGAGAGGACAAAAAGACGTGCCGCAGGAACACGCAGAGAGGACACGGAGACATGACACAGGAAGACACAGAGAGGACATGAAGACGTGACGCAGGAAGACGCAGAGATGACACGAAGACGTGACGCAGGAAGACGCAGAGAGGATATGAAGACGTGACGCAGGAAGACGCAGAGAGGACACGAGGACGTGGTGCAGGAAGACGCAGAGAGGACATGAAGACGTGACGCAGGAAGACGCAGAGAGGACACGAAGACGTGACGCAGGAAGACGCAGAGAGGACACGGAGACATGACACAGGAAGACACAGAGAGGACATGAAGACGTGACGCAGAAAGACGCAGAGAGGACACGAAGACGTGACGCGGGAAGACGCAGAGAGGACATGGAGACATGACGCAGGAAGACGCAGAGAGGACAGGAAGACGTGGCGCAGGAAGACGCAGAGAGGACACGAAGACGTGACGCAGGAAGACGCAGAGAGGACACGAAGACGTGACGCAGGAAGATGCAGAGAGGACACGAAGACGTGACACAGGAAGACACAGAGAGGACATGAAGACGTGACACGAGAAGACGCAGAGAGGACACGAAGACGTGATGCAGGAAGACGCAGAGAGGACATGAAGACATGACACGAGAAGACGCAGAGAGGACACGAAGACGTGATGCAGGAAGGTGCAGAGAGGACACGAAGACGTGACACGAGAAGACGCAGCCACGTAGTACATTTTTATTCCATTGTAATCTCATATGTTGGGGACCGGACATCCTTCATACAGCAAACAAGCAACATAGCTGTTCACCCATTGAAACTGCATACTAATTTGTTCTACATGAATGGAGCAAAATCGAATATTCTCAGGCTATACTCTCTGCAGATCGAAGGTATGAATGAGGAAATACCACATTATGGCCACTAGATGGCGATGAGCATATTATTATTTTTTTGTTCTATCGCCATCTAGTGGCTCATCGCATTTCCTACTCCTGTGGGAGGAAAGCCCAGGACAGGACGTATGTTACTGGCAGGATCACCGGATGACAATAAAAGAAAAAAACCTGGAAAAAAAAAAGAGAAACGAATGCAGCCAGGACCGTTCATAAATCATTCGTCGGACGAATGTCGCAAGTACGCTGCTCAAATTTCTCCCTGTATTTTCTCCATCGCTATGAATTCCTATGAGCGTCGGCTCCATCTATGGGCCATAATGTGGTATATTATTCGGAAATACCTCAACCCTGAAAAATGCTGCATTTTGGCCACTAGATGGAGCCGACGCTCATAGGAAGCCATAGAAATGGAGAAAATAGGAGGAAAACTCGTACAGGCTGGACGAACGCTTGTGACAGTCGTCCAACTAATGGTCTATATCGGGGTGGACTGACAACTCATGGGGCCCCCTGGGCAAGAGGGGATCATGGGGCCCCTGTGTCCTTGCCCAAACTCAAAAAAGCCTATGAAAAAGGTACCAGGGACATCTCATGGGGCCCCCTACTGACCCCGGGCCCTCGGGCAGTGCCCTGAGTTTCCAAATGGTCAGTCCGCCCCTGGTCTATATATAGACTCCATAGGAGGTCCATCTTCAGCTCCTGTTCAGTAACATCTCCCCTGTCTAGGTGAGCACTCTAGAGGAGAAGTTCTAAGTTGTTTTTTCTTTAATTTTTTTTATTTTTCAACATGTTTTTTTATTGGGGGGGGGGGGGGTGCTTGAACAGAGCACGCAGGTTAAAAGAACAAAGGTCTCTGTGCTTCTCTATGCAAGGCAGGCAGACCATGGCTGGTGGGAGGGGCCAGCAGCATGCTGTAGTCCAAAAATGATACAGGTGTCACCAGAACAGGAAGTGAGGTGAAATCTTCCAGTGGGGACACCTGTCCCAGTGAACTGTCACTTTGGAGGGATCTCCTCTCGTTTCCTGCTGTGTCTCCAGAATGGGAAGTGAAGGAAAACGACCAGGGGGGACACATTAGGGATCCTGTGTTTAATATGTATCGCGAGCGTGTCAACATTTCCGGTTCTGGAAACACTTCGGTCTCCATCGTGTCACCGATTCTCTGTGTACATAACAAGCTTTCTGTCCATGTTAAAGTGGACCTGTCAGTGTCTTCACAAACCTCCATAAATAAATCCCAGACATGTCCCAATATACAGGAACTGGAAATTTGTCCAGAAAAGCTCCACCGTTTATCAATAAAAAGTTGTCCTGGAGCTCCAGTCATGGACCCTTCTCTAGGCTGAGGTGAGGTCACCAGTCATGAGGGACCTTTCCTAGGCTGAGGTGAGGTCACCAGTCATGGACCTTCTCTAGGCTGAGGTGAGGTCACAGTCATTGACCTTCTCTAGGATGAGGTGAGGTCACCAGTCATTGACCTTTCCTAGGTTGAGGTGAGGTCACCAGTCATAGACCTTGCCTAGGCTGAGGCTGAGGTGAGGTCACCAGTCATGGACCTTCTCTAGGCTGAGGTGAGGTCACCAGTCATTGAGGTGGGGTCCCCTTGACCTTGCCTAGGATGAGGTGAGGTCACCACCTGACTTTCAGGCTGAGGTGACCAGTCATTTTGCCTAGGTTGAGGTGAGGTCACCAGTCATAGACCCTTGCCTAGGCTGAGGTGAGGTCACCAGTCACTGACCTTGCCTAGGCTGAGGTGAGGTCACCTGACCTTGCCTAGGCTGAGGTCACCAGTCATTGACCTTGCCTAGGCTGAGGTGAGGTCACCACCAGACCTTGCCTCATGAGGTCACCGGTCATTCCCTAGGCTGAGGTGAGGTCACCAGTCATTGACCTTGTCTAGGCTGAGGCTGAGGTCACCAGTCATTGACCTTGCCTAGGCTAAAGTGAGGTCACCAGTCATTGACCTTGCCTAGGCTGAGGTGATGTCACCAGTCATTGACCTTTCCTAGGCTGAAGTGAGGTCACCAGTCATTGACCTTGCCTAGGCTGAGGTGATGTCACCAGTCACTGTTTCCATGTTACTGCACCTCATGACCTTTAAAGTGGACCTGTCTGCGTCTTTACAGACCTCCATGAATAAATCCCGACCACGCCCCAATATACGGCAAACAGGACCATTGTCCAGAAAAGCTCCACCTTCAATCATAAAAAAGCCGCCCTTGAGCCGTCAGTGACTCTGCCTAGGCTGAAATGATGTCATCAGTCTGCTGTAGGCAGTTTCAGGCATTTCCTCAGTCTCCTCCCCCAGTGATCAGACTGTACATTGTAACTTTGTAGAAGGAGGTATTTCCTTAGTCTCCCCTCCCCCAGTGATCAGACTGTACATTGTAACCTTGTAGAAAGTCACATGGTAAGCAGGGGCTGATCTGTGTCAGATATTTGTGATCAGATGACGGTGTTGTGTGGGGAGTCCTGCGATAGAAGTGTTACACGGACACATTGCAGAGTCTGGAGGATGATATCTGATGAAGGGTCCTCGAGTACATGACCTAGTCAGAGACCCCACTATTGGACGATCAGTGCTTGGATGGAAAGTGAGGGGGACGTCTAAAAATGATACAGGTGTCACCAGAACAGGAAGTGAGGTGAAATCTTCCAGTGGGGACATCTGTCCCAGTGAACTGTCACATTGGAGGAATCTCCTCCCATTTCCTGCTGTGTATCCAGAACAGGAAGTGAAGGGAAATGACCGGGGGGGGGGGGGACACATTTGAGGTCCTGTCCTAAATATGTGGGGGCTGGCTGAGTGCTGCTCATCCTTCGACTCCACGGTGACCCCCAAAACTCTCGTATGGTGACCCCCGGAACTGTGCCATACGGTGACCCCAGAACTCTGCAGAACGGTGACCCCAGAACTCTGCAGAACGGTGACCCCGGGATTCTGCCGTGCGGTGACCCCAGAACTCTGCAGAACGGTGACCCCGGAACTCTGCTGTACAGTGACCCCGGAACTCTGCAGAACGGTGACCCCCCATGAAGAGAACCTGTCACATGATTCAGGACTGACATCCTTACCCTGACTTCACTACATAACAAGCACGCAGCCAGTGAAGTCTGAACTCCCAGCATGCACGGGGACCCCGGACGGGATTTCTGGAGTTTCTTTCACATTATTCATATTTTATACAAAAAGACTTGTCAGGGTGTCAGTGACACCGGAAATGCAGATTTTTCCGGAGAGAGGCCGTCCAATCCCGGTACCGGCTCCGCTGAGGGCCCAGCTCTGCACCAACCACACCTGGAGAGGAGGCGGAGCCAGACAAGAGCCCGGCCAATCCCTTCCCTTACTCCTCCCCCAGGCTCCTCCCCTCCCCAAGTCCTCCCCCAGGCTCCTCCCCTCGGGAAATATATTCCGCTGTCCACTCCGCCCCCTGCGACGTCACGTGCCTCTGTCTCCCTGGGAACCTGCGGCGGCGGCGGCCCGTCTCCATGGTGACGCTGTGCGGCGAGATCAGCGGAGGAGCATGAGCCGAACCCTGACCACCCAGACCCGGCCGGGCCCCGGGGGCCCCTACAGAGCCGGCCGGACCTATGACTTCCTCTACGGTACCGGGACACGGGGAGGGCCCACCGAACCCCGCCATGACTTCACCCCGATACCGGAGTCCCCCCCATACCAACCACCGGCCTGACCCCCCCATATCCGACATCCAAACCTGACCCCCCTGTACCTGGGGACCCCACCAATCTGACCCCCCAAACCTGACCCCCCCCCGTACCTGGGGAACCCACCAATCTGACCCCCCAAACCTTACCCCCCCCCCCCCCCCCGTACCTGGGGACCCCACCAATCCGAGCCCCCCAACCCTGACCCCCCCCCTGTACCTGGGGACCCCACCAATCTGACACCCCAAACCTTACCCCCCCCCCCCCTGTACCTGGGGACCCCACCAATCCGAGCCCCCCAACCCTGACCCCCCCCCCCCCCCTGTACCTGGGGACCCCACCAATCTGACCCCCCAAATCTGTCCCCCCTGTACCTGGGGACCCCACCAATCTGACCCCCCAAACCTTACCCCCCCCCCCGTACCTGGGGACCCCACCAATCCGAGCCCCCCAACCCTGACCCCCTCCCCCTTGTACCTGGGGACCCCACCAATCTGACCCCCCAAACCTGACCCCCCTGTACCTGGGGAACCCACCAATCTGACCCCCCAAACCTTACCCCCCCCCCCCCCCCGTACCTGGGGGACCCCACCAATCCGAGCCCCCCAACCCTGACCCCCCCCCCCCCTTGTACCTGGGGACCCCATCAATCTGACCCCCCAAACCTTACCCCCCCGTACCTGGGGACCCCACCAATCCGAGCCCCCCAACCCTGACCCCCCCCCCGTACCTGGGGACCCCACCAATCTGACCCCCCAAACCTGACCCCCCTGTACCTGGGGACCCCACCAATCTGACCCCCAAACCTGATCCCCCTGTACCTGGGGACCCCACCAATCTGACCCCCCAAACCTTACCCCCCCTGTACCTGGGGACCCCACGAATCCGACCCCCCAAACCTGACCCCCCTGTACCTGGGGACCCCACCAATCTGACCCCCCAAACCTTACCCCTCCTGTACCTGGGGACCCCACCAATCCGACCCCCAAACCTGACCCCCTGTACCTGGGGACCCCACCAATCCGTCCCCCCAAACCTGACCCCCTGTACCCGGGGACCCCACCAATCTGACCCCCCAAACCTGACCCCCTGTACCTGGGGACCCCACCAATCCGACCCCCCAAACCTGACCCCCTGTACCTGGAGACCCCACCAATCCGAGCCCCCCAACCCTGACCCCCCCCCCCTGTACCTGGGGACCCCACCAATCTGACCCCCCAAACCTTAACTCCCCCTGTACCTGGGGACCCCACCAATCTGACCCCCCAAACCTGACCCCCTGTACTTTGGGGCCCTACCAATCTGACCCCCCAAACCTTACCCCCCTGTCCCTGGGGACCCCACCAATCTGACCCCCCTGTCCCTGGGGACCCCACCAATTCGACCCCCAAACCTAATCCCCCTGTCCCTGGGGACCCCACCAATCTGACCCCTTCCCCGTACCTTGGGAATCCACCAATCTGACCCCCCAAACCTGATCCCCTGTACCTGGAGACCCCACCAACCTGACCCCCCCCCCGTACCTTGGGACTCCACCAATCTGACCCCCCAAACCTGATCCCCCTGTCACTGGGGACCCCCACCAACCTGACCCCCCCCCCCCCGTACCTTGGGACTCCACCAATCTGACCCCCCAAACCTTACCCCCTTGTACCTGGGGACTCCACCAGTCTGATTCACCCAACAACCTGACCCCCTGTACCTGGGGGCCCCATCAATCTGATCCCCACCAGACTTGACCCCACCCCTGTACCTGGGAATCCCACCAATCTGATCCCCCCCAAACATTACCTCCCCCCTTGTACCTGGGGACCCTACAGATCTGATCTCCCCCAAACCTGACCCCCCTGTAGCTGGGGACACTACCAACCTGATCTTCCCAAACCTGACCTCCCTGTACCTTGGGGGACCCCACCAATCTGATCCCCAACAACCTTGCCCCCCTGTACCTGAAGACCCCACCAACCTGAACCCCCCCAAACCTGACTCTCCCATACCTAGGAACTCCAGCAACTTAACCCCCCTTTACCTGGGAACCCCCACTAATCTGACCCTCAACCTAACAGAACCCCCACTGATCAACAGCCCCCTGTACCTGGGAAGCCCCACTAATCTGACCCTCAAAAACCTAACTAATCTACCTGGGAGCCCTCAAAAACCTAACCCCCAGCCTGTACCTGTACCTGGGAGCCTCCACAAATCTGACCCTCTACAGCCTGATCCCCCTGTACCTTGGGACCCTAACAACTTGACCCCCAATTTATCTAATGTACTGAACCAATCTGACCCTCGCTCTACCTGATCCTCACCAAACCCCACATATTATTGATGATCCCCAACAAACTAACTCTCAGTTTTCCTGATGACCCCCACCAATCTGACCCCTCCCAAATTAATCCCCAACAACCTGACCCTGAAGTTTTCCGATGACCTCCACCAACCTGACCCCCAATTTAACTGATGACCCCCCCCAAATACCTGATAATTTACCTGATAATTTACCTGATGTACTGAAACAAACTAACCCCCCACCAACCTGACCCTCCATTTATTGATGACCTCAACCAATCTGACCCTCACCAACCTGACCACCCATTGATATGGTGACCCCCCCCCCCCCCCCCCCCTCCTCATTACCTGTACCCTAATTTATCTGGTGACCTCACCAATCTGACCCTCCATTTATTGATGCCCTCAACCAAGCTGACCCCCACTTTATCTGATTACCCCCCCCCCCTCCAATATCTGATCCCTAATTTATCTGATGTACTGAACCAACCTGACCCTCCAACCTGACCCCCAATTTATCTGATACCCCCAATACCTGATCCCCAATTTATCTGATGTACTGAACCAACCTGACCCCCAACTTCTCTTGCTGCCACTGTACTTGCTGATCCCTGTAATCTCCTCCTTTCCCCCCTTCCTTTCCTGTGGACCCCTTTATTAGGATTACTGCATAACCCCCATAGACAGAGTCCCCCCCCCCCCCCCAAATCACCAAATTTATTACTGATGGCTCTTTGGTGCTCCCTGGACTCCCCTCTTCTCTTAATCTCCCCATGCTCCCCTCCCCCCTTCATCTCCCCATGCTTCCCTCCTCTTCATCCCCCAGTGCTCCCCTCCCCCCTTCATCTCCCCATGCTCCCCCCCCCCTTCATCATCCCCCAGTGCTCCCCTTTCCTCTTCATTACCCCGTGCTCCCCTCTCCCCTTCATCTCCGCGTGCTCCCTTCTCCCCTTCACCCCCCCATGCTCCCTTCTCCCCTTCATCCCCCCCCCCATGCTCCCTTCTCCCCTTCATCCCCCCCCATGCTCCCTTCTCCCCTTCATCCCCCCCCCCCATGCTCCCTTCTCCTCTTCATTCCTCCCTGGATTCCTCTCTCCCTTCATCTCCCCATGCTCCCCCTCCTCTTCTCTCCCTTTCATACTCCCCATCTCCCCTCCTCTCATACTCTTCTCTCTAGACTCCTCTTCTCATACTCCGGGCCCTCTCCCCTCTCTGGGCCCCTCTCTCTACATACGCCGGGACTCCCTCTTCTCATACTCCAGGCCTCTCTCCTCTCTAGACTCCTAGACTCCATCCTTCTCATACTCCGGGCCCCTCTCCTCTCTAGACTCCCCTTCTCATACTCCGGGCCCCTCTCTCTCTAGACTCCCCTTCTCATACTCCGGGCCCCTCTCCTCTCTAGACTCCCCTTCTGAGCCCAAAGACTCCTCTCCAGACTTCCCTTTTCATCATTCTAGTTCCTCTCCTCTCTAGGCTCTCCTCCTCATCCCCTCTGCTCCCCTCTCCTCTTCATCCCCAGGCTCCCTTTCTCATCTCTCAGAATTCTCTCCTCTCCAGGTTCTCCTCTTCATCCCCTGCACTCTTCCTCTTCACGCTCTCCTCCTAATCCCCCAGAGTCTCTGTCCTCTCATCCCCAGGCTCTCTTCCTCCATCCCCAGAGTACTGTCTTCAGGCTCTCTCCTCACGCCCTACCTCCCTCATCCCCCAGAGTCCTCTCCTCTCCAGGCTCTCCTCCTCATCCCGTACTCTTCCTCTTCACGCTCTCCTCCTCATCCCCTGCACTCTTCCTCTTCATGCTCTCCTCCTCATCCCCTGCACTCTTCCTTTTCACGCTCTCCTCCTAATCCCCAGATTCCTCTCCTCTCCAGGCTCACCTCCTCACTCCCCTGCACTCCTCCTCATCCCCGTACTCTTCCTCTTCACGCTCTCCTCCTCATCCCCTGCACACTCCTCCTCTTCACGCCTCCAGATTCCTCATCCCCTGTACTCTTCCTCTCATGCCCTCTTCTCCTCATCCCCAGTCCTCTCCTCTTCACGCTCTCCTCCTCATCCCCTGTAGAGTCCTCTCCTCTCCCCAGGCTCTCCTCTCGCTCTCCTCCTCATCCCCCAGAGTCCTCTCCTCTCCAGGCTCTCCTCCTCCTCCCCTGCACTCTTCCTCTTCACGCTCTCCTCCTCATCCCCCAGAGTCCTCTCCTCCCCAGAGTCTCCCCCTCGGAATTCAGCAGGAAGCATAGGTGAGAGGGAGCATTAGACTCCATTTACAAGGAGATCTCACTTGTGGTTGGACAGACCCTTTGTCTTTTTATTCTGTCTATATTCGCTTTTTTCTGCATTCCACAAATCCTTGATCCCCCCCAAAACCTGACCCCCCTGTACCTGAGGGCCCCATCAGTCTGGATCCCCCCAAACCCTACCATCCAGAAGCTCGTTACTCATAATAATCGGGGGGGGGGGGGGGGGGGGGGTTGAGTAGCAGTCAGCATTTTAGTGGCATAAATGTCACACTGAAGCGTCTCCATGGGGTGGTCGTGGTTTGGTTGCAGTTTATGCCACTTGTACTGATTCTTGACTTTCTCTGCGTTCTTTTGTAGATCCGCTGTACACGGTGTCCAGCGAGAAGGACCATGTGCAGACCGCATACAGGACACACGTGTCATATGACAGAGTGGTGAGTGGTCCCTGGATCTTCATCAACCTTGGGTGCTCATCTGCTGGGGTCACCACTTTGCTGAATCCAGGATTCGTGATATGGAAAAATATTGAGAACAGACGATTGTTCGCACGTGTCACCTTTTCAATGACGATTTATTGCATGCTTACCATGATCCCACATCTCAGGATGCTGTTAGCCCCTCCCACGGTCCACATTTCATCTGCCCACTTTTCGCGTTGATGTGCCGAAACCATGCCCAATTGTTTAGGTTGATCCCACCCAAACCCCACCTCTAATGTGGGAACCACCCACCATGGTCATATTAGAGGCTGTCCTGCCCAGACCCCAACTCTAAATTGCACTGTGCGCTTCATCATGCGCTGACCCCGCCCTGTCATGTGACGTGGCCTACCACTTGGTGGCTGAGTGGCTGTTGTTCCCAGTGGCTTCCACTTTGTTATAATCCCACTAACAGTTGAGCGTGGAATATTTAGTAGCCAGGAAATGTCACGGATGGACTTATTGCCCAGGTGACCACCTATCACGGGACCACGCTTGGAGTCACTGAGCCCCTGAGAGCGACCCATTCTTTCACCAATGTTTGTAGAAGCCGCCTGCATGCCTAGGGGCTGGATTGTATACACCTGTGTCCATGGAGGGGATTGGAACACCTGAATCACATGATATGAGGGGATTGGGACACCTGAATCACATGATATGGAGGGGATTGGAACACCTGAATCACATGATATGGAGGGGATTGGAACACCTGAATCACATGGTATGGAGGGGATTGGGACACCTGAATCACATGATTGGGAGGGATTGGAACACCTGAATCACATGGTATGGAGGGATTGGAACACCTGAATCACATGATTGGGAGGGATTGGAACACCTGAATCACATGATTGGGAGGGATTGGAACACCTGAATCACATGATTTGGGGGGGGGGACAATACATTTGGCAATATAGTGTGTGATTCTAATCCTCCAACCCTAACTCTTAATCTTCCAACTCTTACCCCCTAACCAGTGCCGGGACAAGGTCATCCAGCGCCCAGGGCAAAGAATCCAATCTCTCCTCCACTCGTGGCTCTATCCTGGACATTTCTGTGCTTGGCCGTGGGCTGTGCTCTCTATCCTTCCTTCCTGTTAATGCAGCTCCTGTGTTCCTGTGGACAGTGCTGCTGGCTTGTTAATACAGGAGCTCTGCACAGGTAGGAAGGAGAAGGGGGAGAGAGAGCACAGCCCGCACCACCTTCCAACTCTCTCCTCCTTTCCTCACCAATCACATCGCTGGACTGACAGGAGTACCGATGCCACTGTTACTACTCCTGTCACCCTTGTAACAGAAAGAAGATGCCCTCATCCTTACAGTAAATCATTGCACCCAAGGCAACCGCCCCTCCTGCCCACCCCTTGTCCCGGCCCTGCCTCTCCCGCCCACCCTTGTCCCGGCCCTCCTCTCCCGCCCACCCCTTGTCCCTGCCCTGCCTCTCCCGCCCACCCCTTGTCCCTGCCCTGCCTCTCCCGCCCACCCCTTGTCCCGGCCCTTCCTCTCCCACCCACCCCTTGTCCCTGCCCTGCCTCTCCCCCCCACCCCTTGTCCCTGCCCTGCCTCTCCCACCCACCCCTTGTCCCAGCCCTTCCTCTCCCGCCCACCCCTTGTCCCTGCCCTGCCTCTCCCGCCCACCCCTTGTCCCGGCCCTTCCCTCTCCCGCCCACCCCTTGTCCCGGCCCTGCCTCTCCCACCCACCCCCTTGTCCCGGCCCTGCCTCTCCCACCCACCCCTTGTCTCGGCCCTGCCTCTCCCACCCACCCCTTGTCTCGGCCCTGCCTCTCCCACCCACCCCTTGTCCCGGCCCTGCCTCTCCCACCCACCCCTTGTCCTGGCCCTGCCTCTAACCCTGATCTCCCTAATCCTCTAACCATAGCCTCCAACCCTAACCCCGAAACCCTAGTCCTCTAGCTCTAGCACCCTAACCCTAGTCCTCTAGCTCTAACCCCCTAACCCTAGTCCTCTAGCTCTAGCACCCTAACCCTAGTCCTCTAGCTCTAGCACCCTAACCCTAGTCCTCTAGCTCTAACCCCTAACCCTAGTCCTCTAGCTCTAGCACCCTAACCCTAGTCCTCTAGCTCTAGCACCCTAACCCCCTAACCTTTAGTCCTCTAGCACCCTAACCCTAGTCCTCTAGCTCTAGCACCCTAACCCTAGTCCTTTAGCTCTAGCACCCTAACCCTAGTCCTCTAGCTCTAGCTCCCTAACCTTCTAACCCCCTAGTCCTCTAGCTCTAGCACCCTAACCCCCTAACCCTAGTCCTCTAGCTCCAGCACCATAACCCTCTAACCCCCTAGTCCTCTAGCACCCTAACCCTAGTCCTCTAGCTCTAGCACCCTAACCCCCTAACCCTAGTCCTCTAGCACCCTAACCCTCTAACCCCCTAGTCCTCTAGCACCCTAACCCTCTAACCCTAGTCCTCTAGCTCTAGCACCTTAACCCCCTAATCCTAGTCCTCTAGCACCCTAACCCTAGTCCTCTAGCTCTAGCACCCTAACCCCCTAACCCTAGTCCTCTAGCACCCTAACCCCCTAACTCTAGTCCTCTAGCTCTAGCACCCTAACCCTAGTTCTCTAGCACCATAACCCTCTTACCCTAGTCATCTAGCACCCTAACCTCCTAACCCTAGTCCTCTAGCACCCTAACCCTCTATCCCTAGTCCTCTCCTCTAGCACCCTAACCCTCTAACTCTAGTCCTCTAGCTCTAGCACCCTAACCCTAGTCCTCTAGCACCCTAACTCCCTAACCCTAGTCCTCTAGCTCTAGCACCCTAACTCCCTAACCCTAGTCCTCTATCTCTAGCACCCTAACCTCTGAACCCCTAAACTTAATCTTCTAACCCCCTAATGCTCTAACCATAACCCCCACGCCTAATCCTCCAATCCCAACTCCCTAATCCCAATCTTCTAACCTAGTCCTCTAATCCTAACTCTCTAACCCCAATCCTGTTACCCTAAGAACCCAAAGCCTATAACCCCAACCCATGACATCAGGCCACTCCCCGCTCCTCCTCCAGGGCAGTTGATTGACAGCAGCTCCTGAAGCTCTGTGAGCCAATACAAGGAGAGGGTGTGCATGTGCTTTGTTTAGCTGGTCCTAGGGAAGATGGGACATGTAGTCCCAATGAAGGGTGGTCATGTGAGCTTACTGTGATTTGCTAATTCCCCAACTGGAAGTTCAGGGAGGCGGAGCTGAGAGATCCAGGATGAACAGCTTTCAGTAGCACAAAATGTAACTGCTTGGCCACATATTTGCCAAATATATGAAACCCCTTTTCCAGAAGTCACCACTTTGAATGTGGCCGTGTGGCTCACCCAACACCAGGCACCTATAGAAGGATCTGATGTCTGACTTATCCCAGTTTATACTACATGACACGTCTGAATTGGTTCACAGCATTCCTTTACGTGTCACTGTAAGTACTGAATCCGGTGACACCATTTTGATGTTTGGATCTCCTGTCATTTCAGGCCAGACAAACAATCACAGCCCCTCACTCACTGCCTATCTTTTTTTTTTTTTCTACCCAGCAAAGAGTTCCAGAATATCCCACAATGTTCAGTGAACTGGTCCACCATCCCCGCCACACTTTGCGCCTGCAACTTAAAGACCCTGTCCCGCCGTTTATCGATCGCCAGTGGCGAGGAAGAGGAGAGCAAAGGATGCTGGCTCTCAAGCAGCTGGCAGGGTAAGTTATACACCTAAATGACCAGCAGAGGGCAGCATGGCAGCACTTAACCTTCTACACAGACCTGAGAGGTGCCACGCTGTGCCGCTAATAATACAGAGTGACCACGGAGGTGCCGCTAATAATACAGAGTGACCACGGAGGTGCCGCTAATAATACAGAGTGACCACGGAGGTGCCGCTAATAATACAGCGTGACCACGGAGGTGCCCCTAATAATACAGAGTGACCACGGAGGTGCCGCTAATAATACAGAGTGACCGCGGAGGTGCCGCTAATAATACAGAGTGACCACGGAGGTGCCGCTAATAATACAGCGTGACCACGGAGGTGCCGCTAATAATACAGCGTGACCACGGAGGTGCCGCTAATAATACAGCGTAACCACGGAGGTGCCGCTAATAATTAATACAGCGTGACCACGGAGGTGCCGCTAATAATACAGCGTGACCCCGGAGGTGCCGCTAATAATACAGCGTGACCACGGAGGTGCCGCTAATAAATACAGAGTGACCACGGAGGTGGCGCTAATAATACAGCGTGACCACGGAGGTGCCGCTAATAATACAGCGTGACCACGGAGGTGCCGCTAATAATGCAGAGTGACCACGGAGGTGGCGCTAATAATACAGAGTGACCACGGAGGTGGCGCTAATAGTACAGAGTGACCACGGAGGTGGCGCTAATAGTACAGAGTGACCACGGAGGTGGCGCTAATAGTACAGAGTGACCACGGAGGTGGCGCTAATAGTACAGAGTGACCACGGAGGTGGCGCTAATAGTACAGAGTGACCACGGAGGTGGCGCTAATAATACAGCGTGACCACAGAGGTGCTGCTAATAATACAGCGTGACCACGGAGGTGCCGCTAATAATACAGAGTGACCGCGGAGGTGCCGCTAATAATACAGCGTGACCACGGAGGTGCCGCTAATAATACAGCGTGACCACGGAGGTGCCGCTAATAATACAGCGTGACCACGGAGGTGCCGCTAATAATACAGCGTGACCGCGGAGGTGCCGCTAATAATACAGAGTGACCACGGAGGTGGCGCTAATAATACAGCGTGACCACGGAGGTGCCGCTAATAATACAGCGTGACCACGGAGGTGCCGCTAATAATGCAGAGTGACCACGGAGGTGGCGCTAATAATACAGAGTGACCACGGAGGTGGCGCTAATAGTACAGAGTGACCACGGAGGTGGCGCTAATAGTACAGAGTGACCACGGAGGTGGCGCTAATAGTACAGAGTGACCACGGAGGTGGCGCTAATAGTACAGAGTGACCACGGAGGTGGCGCTAATAGTACAGAGTGACCACGGAGGTGGCGCTAATAATACAGCGTGACCACAGAGGTGCTGCTAATAATACAGCGTGACCACGGAGGTGCCGCTAATAATACAGAGTGACCGCGGAGGTGCCGCTAATAATACAGCGTGACCACGGAGGTGCCGCTAATAATACAGCGTGACCACGGAGGTGCCGCTAATAATACAGCGTGACCACGGAGGTGCCGCTAATAATACAGCGTGACCGCGGAGGTGCCACTAATAATACAGCGTGACCGCGTAGGTGCCGCTAATAATACAGAGTGACCGCGGAGGTGCCGCTAATAATACAGCGTGACCACGGAGGTGCCGCTAATAATACAGCGTGACCACGGAGGTGGCGCTAATAATGCAGAGTGACCACGGAGGTGGCGCTAATAATACAGAGTGACCACGGAGGTGGCGCTAATAGTACAGAGTGACCACGGAGGTGGCGCTAATAGTACAGAGTGACCACGGAGGTGGCGCTAATAGTACAGAGTGACCACGGAGGTGGCGCTAATAGTACAGAGTGACCACGGAGGTGGCGCTAATAATACAGAGTGACCACGGAGGTGGCGCTAATAATACAGAGTGACCACGGAGGTGCCCCTAATAATACAGAGTGACCACGGAGGTGCCCCTAATAATACAGAGTGACCACGGAGGTGCCCCTAATAATACAGAGTGACCACGGAGGTGCCGCTAATAATACAGAGTGACCACGGAGGTGCCGCTAATAATACAGAGTGCCCACGGAGGTGCCGCTAATAATACAGAGTGCCCACGGAGGTGACGCTAATAATACAGAGTGCCCATGGAGGTGCCACTAATAATACAGAGTGACCACGGAGGTGCCAATAAATCATGATGGATTCTGCAGGATACACCTTTCATAGTCTCCAATACTGAGCTCATCCTATTGGGTTTAGATGTTGTCACCATGACGGTAACACTGCCATCCTGTATTCCAGGTCTCAGCCTTCGTTCTCAACTCCCCTGCAACAGGCAGACCACGAAGACGTATCTGGACGCAACCGCTACAAATATTTTGAGAGGTAATTATCAGAGACCGGGGACACGATGCAGGAGATTGTCAGAGACCGGGGACATGATGCAGGAGATTGTCAGAGACGGGGGACATGATGCAGGAGATTGTCAGAGACGGGGGACATGATGCAGGAGATTGTCAGAGACCGGGGACATGATGCAGGAGATTGTCAGAGACCGGGGACATGATGCAGGAGATTGTCAGAGACTGGGGACATGATGCAGGAGATTGTCAGAGACCGGGGACACGATGCAGGAGATTGTCAGAAACTGGGGACAGGATGCAGGAGATTGTCAGAGACTGGGGACAGGATGCAGGAGATTGTCAGAGACTGGGGACATGATGCAGGAGATTGTCAGACATCGGGGACACGATGCAGGAGATTGTCAGAAACTGGGGACATGATGCAGGAGAATGTTAGAGACGGGGGACATGATGCAGGAGAATGCTAGAGACCGGGGACATGATGCAGGAGAATACTAGAGACTGGGGGCATGATGCAGGAGAATGTTAGAGACCGGGGACATGATGCAGGAGAATGTTAGAGACTGGGGACATGATGCAGGAGAATGTTAGAGACCGGGGACATGATGCAGGAGAATACTAGAGACCGGGGACATGATGCAGGAGAATACTAGAGACTGGGGACATGATGCAGGAGAATGTTAGAGACTGAAGATGTACTGCAGTAGACTGTATCTGTACACAGGAGGACTGCAGACCAATGCCTGCCTGGTTCCCCGGATTCAGTTTTAGGTGGATGTCCTCCTCTGTCTGTTCCTGGGACTGACTTTGGTCTGTATTGGTTCCAGGCCTCTGATCCCGTTCTCCCAGCAAGTCCCAACCAATGTCCTCCTCGCTGGGTCCTGGTGAGTACTGGAATGGATGAAGAAGGTGCAGCGCCAGGCGCCATCATTGTATGACCTCTACAGGGCTTAGTATCCGGGACCTCTTAGCAGCCGGGGCCTCTTAGCAGCCGGGACCTCTTGGGATCTCTTAGTATCCGGGACCTCTTGGGACCTCTTAGTATCCGGGACCTCTTGGGACCTCTTAGTATCCGGGACCTCTTGGGATCTCTTAGTATCCGGGACCTCTTGGGACCTCTTAGTATCCGGGACCTCTGCCATGTAGAACATGAGGTCTGATTTTTGAAACTCCCTAAAAAGAGCCCTTAGATTCAGCAGATTGCAGAGCTCCTGCCGTACTTCCACTCCTCCAACATCAGGACTGCCGGTATGTGATAGTCCTGGTGTCCTATCTCCACCCTGACCCGAATTCCCTACCCCAGTCCTTACACCTCCTAACT